ATACAATACAGAGAATAAAAATTAAACATATCCTCCACATGCAAATTTTTTAAAGGCTTCGCAACCTACATCAAGCAGCAGCTGAGTACAAAGGTCGTAACTAGAAGATACAATTGTTTGCTTTACTTCTTTATTTACTGTTCTATGTTTTAAGAAAAATAAGTTTAAGAACTTATTTCTAACTAGCAATAATCTATAATCTGCTATTATATTATTTATAACCAACAGAAAGAGATTTTAATTTACTAGTTTCCTTTTGAGGTTAACTTGTTTTCATGATCAGATTTATCATGCAGTCAGATTTATAATTTGTTATTGCCAAGTAACATACTTATTTTCACACACATATAGTTCAGTTGGAAAGCTTGTTAAGTTATAATAGTTTTAGGACATTTTTTGTTGCATTTAATATTTTGTGTACTAAACTGAATATTAAGAAAAAAATTAAGTGCCAGCAACACTTCTAAAAAAAAAAATAGGGTTAACTTTCATTGAAATTTCGAGAGCAAAAAAAGTACAAGACCCACACATAATTACCAAATTTCTTGGTTTCTATGTAAGTTTTCTATTTATTGTTATAAAAGTAAGTGAAATGTAAAAATGTGAAACTTATTAGGTTGGATAAGCAAAATTCAGGGAAAAAAATTAAATAAAAAAGAATATTATATCTGGCAGTGAAAAAATAACAGACAAAATTTAAAGTTTTACCAAAAAATAACCAAAGTGTTTTGACTTTCATTTAGGAGGATCTGGAGGTTAAGCAAATGAAATTTGAAAACTATAAAATGAAAAAGTATTTTTAATCTTAACATGCACTCAAAATAGTCAGAGTCAAAATCAGACTCTGATTTCTTAAATTCACAGTCAAATCTTTAGAAAAAGTACTTAATTAAAAAATCTGATATTTTATGTACAAAGACTTGTAAGTTTACTAGAAGCTTTCCAACTTATGTGAAGATAAATTTACTACATTAAGTGTTTGAGTATGTTTAGTTTTACAGTGGTTACAAGTTTGGTCAGAATGATCGAGTCTTTGTATGGAGAGTTAAAGGATAATTTACAGAATTTGGAAATACATGTAAATTGTTTACTGTTTCCTTGTAAATATTGGGATGGTTCTAGAACTACAATCAATTATAGATATTCCATTAATGAAACATTCTTCACTGACCAGGCTCGTAATATGCCTCTTTAACTTGTTCTGTGACCAGTCTTCTCAAAGGCAACATTTTTAAAAATTGGTTATTCAGTGTTCTGGAAGCAGGACACTTAAAACATTTAGACTACAAAACCACACTCCAGGCCACTGTCCCCTGCAATGGTTGGGAAAGAGAACTCTCCAACCCAAAAAAACCATTATGATGAAACTAGACATATACATGTATCCTGATATTGCTAAAAAGACATTAAACAATGATTTAATGCTCGCAAGTCAAAAGTTTGCAAGTATTGTGATACGCGCAAGTATCAAGTTTTTTTTCATCAGAAAGATGGCTGAAGATACTGGAATGTCAGCAGTCCCATTCAACCACTTATTTGTCAAGTTCTCCAAGTGTAGCTTCAAAGGACTTTTAATTAGTCATTTTATAGAAACAATAAGGAAGTATGTTCATACAAGATATATATGGTCATGTTGTAGAAAAATGAATTATTGTTAAACTAATATTATTCATTCTGGAGGAGGGGTTTATTAATCAAGAACTCTGTATGTATAGATATATATTTTCATATAAGTGTTACACAGATTTAAATATGGTTGTTTATATGTTATGTTTGAGGTGTATTGCTTAAAAAATTAAAAATATAGCCTACTGTGGTACTTTGAAATGTTTTTAACACAGCCTATGAAATGCCGTTTTGTAGGCCATACATTTGACACTTCTATTCTAGAAGGTGTACTGAAGTGCATTCAAGATGTTCATAGTCAAGTTTCAGAGAATAAACTCAAATATATGTAGTTTGTAGCCATAGTAGGGCCCAAAAGTGTTTGATTCTTCCAAATTATTCTTGGTACTCTAAATTCAAGTAAAAAAAATTATTGTTCCTTTGTACATTTCATTGGAAGTGGCTAATTTTAGAGTAGTTCCACTTTTAATGCCACTGGTGCATTATAACTGAAGTTTAAATTTCTTTGGGTATTCAGGAGAAAAGCATTCTATATAACATTTGTAATAAATTGTACATTTTTCAGTGATGTAAGTATGTTCGAATGGTTAATAAAGTTAATATATAGTGTAATAATAGAATTTTATCTAAATTTAACAATTTTAGTTCTGTTAACCATATGTTGTTGTATTACATAATAAAGATGAAATTGACAATAAACAGCAATGAAGGAATTGATTAAAAAAGTAGTTATTTTTTTCTAACATAAAAATGTTTGGATTAAGATTAATATATCTTTTATGCTTTTGATATACATTTCATATTTTTTACATATTTTATCAAGTGAAAGTACCTCGTGCAGATTGCATGCACTCCGATCTCCCCACCAAACTCTCATATTTTGTTGTTCATGAATTTTTTAACTTTGGTCCATAAAATCAGTAGACCTTAAAAGCAATAGAATTTCTTGCTCGTAGTTATAAGACTTGGATTTCCTGGTGAAAAGAATCTTAGTAATGGGCTTGAGTGAGTGAGTGAGTGTACTTGTGATAGTTAGTCATGACCTAGAGGTTAAACTATGTACACAACTGACTTATGCTGAAAGCCAAGTGGAACTGTGTAAATCCTTATTTAACAGAAAACGAGATTTACCCATAATGACTAGTCATTCTTGCACAAGATAATTACTGTAACAACCATATATCATTTTCTTGGCCAGTAAAGGATGTTTCTGATGTTTACTTGCTTTTATCATGTGTGAACTTGCAAGTATTAGCTACTAAAGAACAACAATGAATGAAAGTAACTCAATAATTTTGTGGACCACGTGTTCATTCAAAAACTACACAGAATGAAAAAGTGAATGCTTGCATACCATAAGGCTACTTCTTGTATAAAATTTTTCTTTTTTAATGTCTGTTTATTGTCATCTTAATATAAAAATATGTTAATTTATTATGATAAATATCCTTTATAAAGGCTGTTTTTTGTCTAAGCTTTTCTATTTTAGTGTATGTTTTTTTTTAATTAATTGAGAAATGTATTAATTTATTATGGTAATTGTTTCATTGAGACTACTTATTATCTCATCTTTTCTAAAAGGTGAACCTTTTCTCTTGTGCTCATCACCAACTGAAAGTATACTAAAATGAGTAGTTTACATGTCAATGTAGTGATTTCTAATCCATTTATAGTGTCCACATGTTTGTAACCGTGCTTATGTATGGAATTTCCACATGTCAGTAGCAACTTACAATAATTCTATTTAAATATATAAAACCTGCATATGTTGTTAGTGGTTTATTGTATTTAAGTATTTTGCTACTGTATCTTTCATCGTGCAGTTTTTGATTCAGCTGTCACTACATGTTATGTTTCACAACTTTCCTGCCTTTTTAATTGTACGTGGTCTTATATCCAAGATCAATGTTTAAAATGCACAATAAAATTTTTATTGTACATTCTAAATGTTGATCTTGTTTTTACTTATAAAATTTATTGCACAAGTTGCCGTGATTGAATCTACTTGGTCTTATACCTTAAATTGTTCTGTATCTCACTTGTTATGATGTTTGTCTAAAAACTTAAGAATTCAGTGGCCTGTGATTGTTAAAGTTTATTTACACACTGTGTACTAGCTTTTTTATCCTGTGGTCTAAAAGAGTTAATGAAGCATACTTTTTTATTAATAGTTGCTAAAATTATTAGTTTCAAATTTTTGTTAAAGCTCCCTAGACACTATAGAGGTACGTTATTCTAGAATAATGTGTCAAACATAAAGTATGATCCTACGACAATAAGAATGGTAATTCTCAGTATCTTTATCACTGGTGCTTCTCATTTTTTCATATTTTATTTATGCATTATAATGGTATTGTACACCTGAATTTATTTTTCTAGAACTTATGTTTCTATTTTAAGGAAAGCAATGTACAGCTCAAAGGAAAGAAAACCTTTCCATAAAGAAAAACCTCACAATACAGAGCTCTTCATCGCCTTCTGCACTTAAACACTTGGAAGATCAAAACAAACCTGTACAAGAAGAAAAAGCAAATTTGAACCAGTATTGTGAAGATTCTGATTTGAAAAGAATAGAAACTGGCTTATCTAATTGGTGTGAACAACTAAAGGAATTTATTTTGGTGGGTATGTGTAAGCACTTAATGTTATATTTAATTTTTAGTTATTTTGAAATTGAAACATCACTTTACTGTTCTTGACTAAAAACTATCCCTTCCTTCTTTATCATTCCTATTTAACACATCATACATGCTGATATTATTGATGCTGTGTTTACCCCTGTATCATGTACTGAGTTTACTGATGTTCTATTTTATCCTCTGTATTGTATAATGATATTACTGGTGTTTTATTTTTTATCCTCTGTGTTGTATATTAGTGTTTTATTTTGTCCCTTTGTATTGTATACTGATTTTACTGATGCTTTATTTTTTTATCTTCTGTATTGTATGGTAGTGTTTTATTTTGCTCTCTGTATTTAATTTTTTATTTTGCCTTTATTTTTATTAGGCCCAGCATGGCCAGGTGGTTAGGGTGCTTGACTCGCAATCTGTAGGTCACGGGTTTGAATCCCCATCACACCAAACATGCTTGCCCTTTCAGCCATGGGAGCATTATAATGTGATGGTGAATCCCACTATTCATTGACTCGCAATCTGTAGGTCGTGGGTTTGAATCCCAGTCACACCAAATATGCTCACCCTTTCAGCCATGGGGGCATTATAAAGTGATGGTCAATCCCACTATTCATTGATAAAAGAGTAGCCCAAGAGTTGGCGGTGGGTGGTGATGACTAGCTGCCTTCCCTCTAGTCTTACACTGCTAAATTAGGAATGGCTAGTGCAGACAGCCCTCATGTAGCTTTGTGCGAAATCCGTAACAAACAAACAAACAAACAAACCTTCTATATTGTAAGCTGATTTAATGATTAAAACAAATTATTTTTCAGGTTTATATATATACATTTGAATAACTAAAAAATCATAAATTACTACATCAATACCATAGAATTCCACTATAATTTATTAAGCTTAGTAACTAAGATGTATTTTAGTCTAAAAAAATATGAAATTTTCGAGCAGACTAAAGACACACCCTACCTAGTTGAAATATTGGTTCAAAAGAAAGAAATGGCACAAGCCCATTAAAATGGCTGAGAAAGCCACTAGGGGACATTCTGAGCTTCTGATTGGTTATTTTTGTCATTTATAGAATTAAGTCTATATAAGGGAGCGTTTCCAAAAATGGAAAGAGGTAGGTAGGGTGCCACTGTGTTTGATTTATTACATGAGCAATATCTTAGCAAATTGAAAATATAAGAGGCTCTTATTTTATACGCTAGCTTGTCAATATTGGTAATTTGAGTTTCTAATTCGTACGAAACTATAGACTTAGTATTTGGACTTCACAAACATCTAATTTGAACCAGTGCTGCATTCAACATACCACGTGACACACAAAAATCAATGTTTATCTGTGTTTTTAATATTTGCTTTTAAATTAAGAAGTTGAGTAATGTATAGTACTAAAATTTGAATTATAATCTACACATTGATACCAAAGTTATTGACATAAAATTCATGAAATAGTAGTTCAATAAAATTTTGAATTTGAGTCAACAACCGAGATGACATGGTCTTTCGCCCGTGACCCATCTTGAAAGGGTTAAAAGGAACTGAATAATAATGATCACTGACAAAGAATCTGTATGCCCAACAAAAAGAAATAACTGTTATAAAACTTTTATAAAGGGAAAAAAAATGCATTTTCTATTGGTTATAATTATGACATGTGCCTCAGCTAACTGCCTTGAGAGTTATAATAAGATGGTGGCTTTGACAAATTTATTGATTCCTCAATAATTTGAGAAGGTGGGAGGCTCAAATTTTATATTCTGCCTTTTCTGGTTTGTGTTTCTAATTGATTAGACACTGAAACTCACAGAAGATAGAAAAATCTGTTAGGGAGAATTCAGAATACATCACATGACACAGTGAAGTGAAGATTGAGAACTTGTTTAAATATTTACTTGTAAAATTACAAAATAAAAAATTAAAATAACATAAATATTTGAATTATAACCTACATTTTGATGCCAAGTTTATTGACATAAGTTCATAATAAAATTGGTTAATTAATTTTTAATGTTATTCTGTCAGTAAAGGGTTGTTACCTGCTCAGAGTTTGATCCAGTCCGAGCACATGTAGATAAAGTAATCATTATAACTGTTTAAAACTTTTTTTATTGAAAATTTGTGTTTTTTTAGTTTTTTAAATAATAACCTCGATAATAAGACTTAATTCTTGTAAAGTTTTGCCAGAACACAAAAAACTTAGAAATAAAAAACAAACATCTTAATGTCATTAGTAATGTAGTGTTTTTGTTTATTTTGTGAAATAAACAATCACAATACTAGGTATTATTTTCTTTACGGAAGAAAAACTATAGCGGCTGTAACTTAAAGAAAGATAAGTTTAATCTTTTCAGTGTCATCTAAGAATCCTTAGGAGAAATATAGTGAACCTTTATATTTTGAAATCTACTCTTTTATGGATGGTTTTCAGACTTTCTTAAATTATTGTTTTTTTATTTTTCTTATTCTAGGACATGCTAGTTAAGAGTTATTCTGGGAATACAATGTAAGAGAAATGTAGTTATATTTTGAGATGTATTCTTTAATAGGTAGTTTTCTGTTATGTAAGTTGTTTTTTTTATGTTTCCTCTCCTAGGACCTGCTATCTAAGGATGTAGACCAAGGTGACATTATGTCTTGTCTAGTTAGCAACAAAAACGATCCCTTAATGAAGAAAAACTCCAAATGCCGAACAGCTGTTGAACATTTTCAACTGGTGAGTGGTTCAAAAGACTGAAAATTTGTATTATTTTGTGTTATCCCCCTCCTCGAGGGTTTACGACACTAACATGGCTCGGCATGGCCAGGTGGTTAGGGAGCTCAACTCGCGGTTCGAATCCCCATCCCAACAAACATGCTCGTCTTTCAGCCATGGGGGCATTATGATGTGACAGTCAATCCCACTATTCGTTGGTAAAAGAGTAGCCCAAGAGTTGGCAGTGGGTGGTGGTGACTAGCTGCCTTCCCACTAGTCTTACACTGTTAAATTAGGGACAGCTAGTTCAGAGAGCTCTCGTGTAGCTTTGCTCAAAATTCAAAAAATAAACAAACATGCTAAGGTTTAGGATTTTACTTAACATGTTTGTCTTTGTTTTCCTTCCAACTGTTTTGTTTTTAGCACAAATGTACAAAATGTGCTATTTGCATTCAATCCACAGTGTGGAATCAAACCCCAGATTTTAGCATTTTAAGTTTGTATAATTATTGCTGACCCACCTGGTGAAGTTTTTTTTTCCATTTTGTTAGAAAGGACAAGTTAATTTTTGTTTCTTCTTAAATCCACCCCCTTAGCTTTCTTAGTTTTCAGATGGTTGCCTTAAATATACGTCCAGAAAAGATGTCTAACTTACACGTTAATCAATTCCTCCGTCAAAACCACTGAGATATGGTAATGAAGTTTCATTCGAATATCATCATTTTATAAAACTGGATTACCATCTTATTAACATAAGTTGTTGTTTTAATTTTTATAAGAAACTATTATGTTTAAACGGAATTTCCACAGAATCCCTGAAAATGGCTTATATTTGTAATTAAACTGAAAGAGAGAATCCTCATTTTTGGGACCTAAATGTTTCGATCTGAACTTTAATGTTTTTCCATTTGATATGCTGTCTACTACTTTTTTTTTTCTAATCTGTTTGGAAGTTAACATTTTAGCCCTAGTGCAGGGATATTTAATCAGATTCATTTCTTTTGTTTTGTCTCAAAGCTTGATGAAATCACAAACTTTGGTTTTGAATTGTAAATGAAGAATTAGAAGAGTTGATGTCATGTAGAAGTCGAAGTTATATTTCTTTATTTTGTTCTAAAACTTGTTAAGATTACTCTTTATAAGGGTCAAAGTGTCCCTTGTATTATTGTATTACACGGAAGTCAAAAGTTTGATTTTGTTGCATTATATAGAAAGGGATTTAAGTTATGCATGCTGATAAAAATGTCAAGGAGAACAATATTTGAATTACTGTTTCATTGTTGTTGAGCTTTGCCATAAGAAATTACCATATGAACATTATTATATACTCAAGTTTCAACATATTTTGAATTTATTAACACACCACCTAGATATGTGCACTATTAGCATATTTAGGTTCTTCTTTTTTTGTTCAATTCTTGTCCGTGTTTTTTTTTCTCTCATAGTACACCTTGGTTGTTTAAATCTTCTTTTAATTATTCAGTAATAATATAATTTTGGACTGTACTATAAGCATATTTAGGTTCTTCTCTTTTTGTTCAATTCTTGTCTGTGTTTTTTTTCTCTCTCATAGTACACCTTGGTTGTTTAAATCTTTTAATTATTCAGTAATAATATAATTTTGGACTGGTTGTGTCACTGTATGTACATATTTCAGGTACTAGTAACTTTGATATTGAAACTTCATACAATTTTTGTGTTTTATTTTGTGAATAGCTTTCTCTGCAAGATTTCCGCTTCTCTTTCAAATTTAAGGAAGCTTGTAAAAAGGATGTTCTTAACTACTGTAAGACAGTGAAGACCAAGTAAGTGTTAGACACTTTTCTAGTTATATGGAATACGCATTAGAAATATATTGTAAGAACACCATTATACAACATGAGAACTGTTGTTGTATTTACTTTATTAACCATCATACAACATGAGAATTGTTGTTGTATTTACTTTATAAACACCATTATACAACATGAGAACTGTTGTTGTATTTACATTATGAACACCATTATACAACATGAGAACTGTTGTTGTATTTACA